ATGGGCCTCATATGGTGATATCAATAGCTTTGCACACCATAGTTCAATATTCTACAATATTCTACTTTATCGACTTCTACTTTACCGACTCTAAAAATGAATCGACAAATATATAAACAAAACTGCCAGAGGCCACCCTAATAAACGGGTACCATATACAAACGATATCATAGATGGTACGACCATACCACATAAAGTTGGGATGATAACCTGAATTGGTGGTTAGGCGCTTCTTATGGTTATTGTTTATCCGGGAGAGCTTTCACATATCTTTTTAATGGGTCTGATTTTGGATTCGATCATGAACTGTTGGGGTGTGCTGCTGCCAGAGTCTTCGTTCGATCTCACTGTGCCACGGTTGTTCTAATATATGAGGCGGGTTAATAGGAAAAAGTCACAACTCTTGTTTTCGTTGTTTACCTTTCTGAGCAAGCAATTCACATCGTATTCGAATGCAAAACACTTTAAATCCATCTGTTTTGAACAGTAGCGTGATTCAATGTGCAATACACTTGAATAGATAGTGAAAAAATTTCAACATTTCAAAGTTTGAAACACTATAAATTAACGTGTATAACACATTGAACCAAGGTGAAATACACTTAAAGTAAATGTGATTCTGCATTTAAAAAATCAAGTGTTTACACGGTTAGAAAAAATAGCCAAAATTGAGTTCCTTTCACTCATCACGTGGCTTCCGTGGGGCTAGGTAAAATTAAGTTAAAGAAGAAAACTCAATTTTGAATAATCCTGATCATGAATCCACGTTGACCAAGTTGACAAAAAAATAATAAGACGGAGCAGACTGGAACCGAACCATGGACGTGGAGATTACGGGGCCCGTGTGTTGACCACTTGTCTATCAACGCTTGTGAAAATGAAATGGTTAAAGGCGCATAAGAGCAACCTCAATGAAAATAAACTTATATTTGAGTTCGTTTATTATTACTCAATAGTTGAGTAAATTTTAACCAACGCCGCTTTTCTGATTCACTCAACGGCGGACCTCAAATGATAGAACCCAACGTAGAGTTTTTTTAAACTTAATTTTGAGTATTTTTTTCTTTCCGTGTAAACACTTCGATCAAACGTGTGAAATTTTTTGAGTGTACACCCTAAAATATTTCGGTGTACGGCAGTGTATACCAATGACATTTATATAAGGTCTGGGCCAACAGGCAGCTTGCTGGTGTTAGAAGCAAAAATGTTGTAAACATTGCTGATCATCTGCGAACAGATAGATATACGTCACTGCCAACATACTGAGAACAGATAGATATACGTCACTGCCAACAGCTGTTTCGTGTAAAAAGATAAACATTGCAATATAATACGAACACCACTAACCATTTGCACATTTCACTAACACCAATAAGCCCAGACCTTATATAAACGTCATTGAGTGTATACACCGGTGTAGCTACACCGCAAAAACGAAAACGACAAGGCTCTGAACCATTTGGTGGATTATTTTAACTTTTGGTTAAAATTTGACAGATGGAAAGTTATCGATTAACCCTGCTATCCGAGCGTGGTTATTTCTGACAGACAAAAAGTTAAATTTTGACAACCGTGGCTGAGTTCTGCTCGAAAACCGATCGATCGGTAACACAGGGATTTTCGAACAGAAGAAATAACTTTCGAAATGTCACTTTTAACCACGAGTTAAATTTAACTCGGCAAATGGTTCACAGCCTAAGGCTGTGGTCCATTTGGTGAATTTTCACTTAAATTTTACACTTCGAAACTAAATTATAATGTTCGAAAATCCCTCTGTTGTTGATCGGCCAATTTTCGAGAAGGTGTGTGTCAAAATTGATTCCTTGTCTGCTGGAATAGATCAGTGCACGGTCCCTAACCTCACTTTTTGCTCCCTATCATTTTGCTTCTGAGTAAAAGAGATAGCAACGAATGGGAGCCAAAACAAACCACCCAAAACTGTCAAAACTTACGGGTGAGAGAAGAGTGCGGCAAATCTTCGTGAACTGATCAATAGCAGGTTAATTTGGAAATTTTCCATCTGTCAAGTTTAAGTGAAAATTCGCCAAATGGAACACAGCCTAAAGCCTGGTACGCAGCTGAAAAGTAATGACGTTTTTATGTGCTACCGGATAGGACACGGAATGCAAAAGAAATTACTTTTCCTCAGCATTTCTTGACCCAGTACGCAGTTCAAAAGAAATCGGTAAAGGAAAGATCGATTACATTAGTATCGTGATCGACATGAAGGTGGCGCATTCTGAATGCAATTTCACTTTCCTTGCGGAATAATGGTCTGATCAATTATTCCGTTAGGTAATGTTGGCGTTTATTGCAAAACTGATGTTTTGGATGCATTTAAACAACATAAACACTAATAAGTGTTGATTTTACAATTTGACGACATCTCCCTATAATCTCAAAATTTAGCAGACTATACACAGCAAAAAAAAATGTAATATCGATCAACGTAATTCAAGCTGATGTATGAAATAATGATGTAATAACAAAAAGCAGATACAATATTACATCAATGGATGTAATTTTGTTCGCAAAATCGATGTACATCGTACAATGTGATATTACACAACCGATGGATTGACCTGGTTGCAGCAGTTTCGATGTAATATTCAACAACTTTTTTTGCTGTGTAGCTGTCAAATTTTCTTTTGGGAAAAATCCTCAAAAATTACTTTTCCGTTTTCTTTTCAGCTGCGTACCAGGCTTAAAGCCTGGTACGCAGCTGAAAAGTAATGAAGTTTTTACGTGCTACGGGATAGGACACGGAATGCTAAAGAAATTTCTTTTCCTTAGCATTTCTTGACCAAGTACGCAGTTCAAAAGAAATCGGTAAAGGAAAGATCGATTACATTAGTATCGTGATCGATATGAAGGTGGCGCATTCTGAATGCAATTTCATTTTCCTTGCGGAATAATGGTCTGACCAATTATTCCGTTAGGTAATTTTAACGTTTGTTGTAAAAATGATGTTTTGGATGCATTTTAACAACATAAAAATTGATAATTGTTGATTTTAAAATTAGACGACACCTACCTATGATCTCAAAATTTAGCAAAAGACACCTCCCTATAGCTGTCAAATTTACTTTTGGGAATATTCCTCAAAAATTACTTTTCCGTTTTCTTTTCAGCTGCGTACCAGGCTTAAAGCCTGGTACGCAGCTGAAAAGTAATGACGTTTTTACGTGCTACGGGATAGGACACGGAATGCTAAAGAAATTTCTTTTCCTTAGCATTTCTTGACCCAGTACGCAGTTCAAAAGAAATCGGTAAAGGAAAGATCGATTACATTAGTATCGTGATCGATATGAAGGTGGCGCATTCTGAATGCAATTTCATTTTCCTTGCGGAATAATGGTCTGACCAATTATTCCGTTAGGTAATTTTAACTTTTGTTGTAAAAATGATGTTTTGGATGCATTTTAACAACATAAAAATTGATAATTGTTGATTTTAAAATTAGACGACACCTACCTATGAACTCAAAATTTAGCAAAAGACACCTCCCTATAGCTGTCAAATTTACTTTTGGGAATATTCCTCAAAATTACTTTTCCGTTTTCTTTTCAGCTGCGTACCAGGCTTAAAGCCTGGTACGCAGCTGAAAAGTAATGACGTTTTTACGTGCTACGGGATAGGACACGGAATGCTAAAGAAATTTCTTTTCCTTAGCATTTCTTGACCCAGTACGCAGTTCAAAAGAAATCGGTAAAGGAAAGATCGATTACATTAGTATCGTGATCGATATGAAGGTGGCGCATTCTGAATGCAATTTCATTTTCCTTGCGGAATAATGGTCTGACCAATTATTCCGTTAGGTAATTTTAACTTTTGTTGTAAAAATGATGTTTTGGATGCATTTTAACAACATAAAAATTGATAATTGTTGATTTTAAAATTAGACGACACCTACCTATGAACTCAAAATTTAGCAAAAGACACCTCCCTATAGCTGTCAAATTTACTTTTGGGAATATTCCTCAAAATTACTTTTCCGTTTTCTTTTCAGCTGCGTACCAGGCTTAAGCCTGGTACGCAGCTGAAAAGAAAACGGAAAAGTAATTTTTGAGGATTTTTCCCAAAAGAAAATTTGACAGCTATAGTCTGCTAAATTTTGAGATTATAGGGAGATGTGGTCAAATTGTAAAATCAACACTTATTAGTGTTTATGTTGTTTAAATGCATCCAAAACATCAGTTTTGCAATAAACGCCAACATTACCTAACGGAATAATTGATCAGACCATTATTCCGCAAGGAAAGTGAAATTGCATTCAGAATGCGCCACCTTCATGTCGATCACGATACTAATGTAATCGATCTTTCCTTTAACGATTTCTTTTGAACTGCGTACTGGGTCAAGAAATGCTGAGGAAAAGTAATTTCTTTTGCATTCCGTGTCCTATCCGGTAGCACATGAAAACGTCATTACTTTTCAGCTGCGTACCAGGCTTTAAGTGGCTCAGTTTTTAGTTTCCTCATCGAAGTGTAGGTGGCTACAGATTTATCCAAAACAAGACGCATGCTAGCTAAAGCCCTACAGTAAAAGTATGGACGTCTGTCAAAAGTTGTTCCAATCGAACCGTCAAAATGCACCCACTAATAGAATTCCACACATTTTTATTGGCGAATTTCCATGTAAAATTCCACATGATTTTCATGTGACCACACATAAATAGAATCCACATAGAAGCACATATGAAATTTATGAGTCAAATGAATAGTATTTGTGGTTAAACATGGCTTTTATGTGTACACATATTAAGTATATGCCCGACACATAGATATTATTTGTTGATCACATTGCAAAAATTCATGTGTGGGACACATAAAAACAATCTTTGAAATTTTATCAGTGCCGCTTTGCTCGATTGGAACAGCTTTTTCAGTTTTGTGGTGACAGTCGTCCATACTTTTACTGTAGGGCTTTAATGCTAGCTTGTCAGATTTGATTGTTACGAAAATCAAAACAAAATAATAATAATCGATTCCAAAGGCAAAAACATTTTGGCACTGGACAGTATTTATTGTGAATTAAAATTGTAAAACAATGCCAGGAAAAGTTAAAGTTAAAATTCTTGCGGGGCGGAATTTACCTGTGATGGACAGAAGCAGTGATACCACTGATGCATTTGTAGAAATAAAATTTGGATCAATCACCCATAAAACGGATGTTTGTAGGAAAAGTCTAAACCCTGTATGGAATTCTGATTGGTACCGATTTGAGGTGAGCAAAATTAGTCTGAATTTCCTTATATTATATATCAAGATATCACAGGTCATGCATGGAATCTGCTCGCAATTTTTTGGTCATTGGTAGTCCGTTCTCGCTAAAACAAAAAAAGTTATAATGATTATGTTAAATCAGGGATAGACAATCAAAACATATTCCATCTCATTCGATCTTTTTGGTGGATATGGCGAGGAAATGTGCAGATTTGATGTATGAGCTCGGTGATTTGATATTGCATGAATCTTTTTTTTTTTCAATCAATCATTGATAGCACATAATCCTTGAATAAAATAAAAGCAAACAAATAAACATAATAATTCCATGTGGCATTTTCCATTCCTAGGAATAAGCCTTGGAATATTTGAAACATCAAAGGTGTTTGTGTATCATGAATAAGGGATGTTATTGTTTTCGTTTTAACCTGCATACGAGCAGATGTTAGAACGAATGAATTGAATTGGAATGGAAACGCATCATCACCGAAAACTTTGATAAGAGCACCGACATGGATTTGTTTCATTTCATCGTTGAAATTAGTGATCTAAATGGATAAAGTTTGTGTTCGGCTGCAGCAGTGTATCGTATTGTTCATACTGCTTTGATGAGAGCCTCGGTTTTTTCTTTTAATTTTACGTGGAGCTTAGTGGTGAGGCGTATATTAGGTAGGAGTATATTAGGTATATCTGGGAATATTTCAGCAGGATAGCTGTTGTTTCAAATTCCTTATAAACGAAAAATATTAAGAATGGTTATATACAGAAATTGATATGGATCAAGTAGTCTACTAAGACTGAATTGATGTAATTTTTAATACGTATTAACTGTGTTTATTTTGCAAGGAAATTTGCAAAAAAATAAATAACCTAATGACGTGTAATTCTTGTTTTGGTGTGGATTTTCAGGTTGATGATGCTGATCTTCAGGATGAGCCATTGCAGATTCGTCTCATGGATTATGATACTTATTCAGCAAATGATGCAATTGGAAAAGTTTACATCAACTTAAGTCCTCTGTTATAGTAAGACCCCTAAAGATAAGGGAAAGCTCGAGCATTGTTTATCACGTTTAATTTCAGTTCATTCACTCTAGATAAACCAACACAAAGTAATACAGGTAAAGGCTCCGTTATGTCCGGATGGATTCCAGTCTATGATACAATGAATGGAGTTCGAGGTAAATAGAATTTTGTTATTTATGTATGGTGATTAATTTTATACTCTTGTAGGTGAAGTGAACATAATTGTTAAAGTTGATTTGTTTACTGATTTTAATAAATTTCGGCAAAGTTCCTGCGGGGTACGCTTTTTTCACTGTAAGTGGCATCATAAGAAGGTTAGCCTTGTTTATAGTAATCGTGGATTTTTGTCTGTAGCATCTATTATTCCTCATGGTTACAATGCACAAGTCATACACGGTTTTGTGGAAGAGTTGGTCGTTAACGATGATCCAGAGTACCAATGGATAGATAAAATACGTACACCTAGGGCGTCAAATGAAGCAAGACAGATAGTTTTCATGAAACTGTCAGGACAAGTATGTAGTAGTTAGTATGTATGATCATACTTTATCCATTACTTAATTTCACCATATAGGTTCAGAGGAAAATTGGATTGAAAGCTATTGAACTTGGAGCTAACGCTGTCATAGGATATACACAATGTTTTGACTTGGAGGGAGATGTTGGTGTTGTAGCTCGAGGTATTGGTACAGCCGTTACATTGATAAAAATTCATGAGAATTTTGCTCATCAGGTAGTCGACAACACACTTGTGGAAGAGTAAGTATGTCTGTTTTATTCTTTCTATTATTATTAGTGATTAAAGCTAGCGATGTAACAGAAAGTTTGTCAAACTTGAAGCAAATGCGGCGTTTGTCAGTATAATGTCATTTTCAATTTCACCTACACCAGAGTCGATGTTAATAAGAGTCCCGCCAGGAGAAAACCTTGCAATCAAGTAGAACGGTTTGTGATATTGCATCAGTGTTAGTGGCTACCACATTTGTTGCTTTAATATCGAATGACTTTGATGCGGGAGTGAAAAACATCTTGTCGGTAACGAAGCTTTTGGGAGATAACAACATCTATAAGACCTGAATTAATTTCAACCAACTTCTTGCTATCACTAATGCACTAAATTAAACATTATTATCATTATTTAAAATTATATCTGCTCTGGGAAAATAATGTTTATTTACTTTTATCATTCGGTATGCCACTTAACAGTTCGATTGGTACTTCAATATTGAATTTTCAAATAGCCGTATCTGCTTTTGTAAACAAGGTTTCATGTTAGATTGTGTGGGTGAAAATAAGAGTTTCGAAATGTTCTGGCTGAAACTTGTAACATCGTTTCTTATCTGCACTATACATCGATGTGGTTTTGGGACGAAAGGTCGAAAGGACAAAAGGTCGAGGAAATGGATACCCTCGAAGAGCACCATGATCAAACCACCAGCAAGAACATTGGAGCCTATCCAAAAGTGAAATCTCTACCACAGCCCCCTTCTCCTTCATCGCCGCCTTGTCCTTCTATGCCCCCTACTCCACTCGTTCCCCCGAAAATCTCAGCGAACCCGGGCCACAAGTCTTACAATGATGACTCGAAAGGTCCGTGAGTTGTTTTTTTTCCGACCCAAACAAAAACCTTTGAATATTTCTCGGATTTCGAAGGATCTGACAAAACATTTTTCGGCCGTAGCCGATATCTTTAAGGTGACGTCGAACAAACTGCGCGTTACCGTCGATGACCTGAAACAGGCAAACCGGATTGTTGCCTGTGAGCTTTTTTCGATCGAATATCGAGTCTACGTCCCCAGTTGTGACGTAGAAATTGAAGGAGTGGTCTCCGAAGCGAGTCTGACTTGTGAGGATTTTCTACAAGTCGAATCTTTCGGCATTTTCAAAACCGTGCCCTCCCGAAAGTCAAGATACTGGACTGCATTCAACTGCAGTCAGTGTGGCTCATTGGCACAAACAAAAAGTATACCCTCTCAGATTCGTTTCGTGTGAACTTTTCAGGATCGGCATTACCTGATTACGTCACAATTGGGAAGGTTCGACTACCTGTACGCTTGTTTGTACCGAGGGTAATGAATTGCTTGAAATGCAAACAACTAGGTCACACCAAGGACTTTTGTTCCAACAAACCGCGGTGCGATCAATGTGGGGAGGAGCATACGGAGGGTCCTTGTCATGCTACCCCAAAATGCGTTTACTGTAGGGATGCTCCGCATGATCTAAGCGATTGCCCGAAGTACAAACAGCAGGGAGAAAAACTAAAGCGGTCTTTGGAAGCTCGCCCTAAGCACTCGTTAGCAGAAATTTTGAAAACGACCGCTACATCTTCCCAAACCACCCCAAAAAGCAACAACACATTCCTCCTCCTGCCAGATGATGATCAGGGCTCTGACTCAGAGGTTGGTGAGAGTAGTCCTTTTGTCTTTAACGGCAACACGAGGAAGCGGTCCAAAACAAACGTCACTCAAAAAATCTCGTAAGGCCTCTCGTACGGACTCTCAACCTACCTTGACAAATTTAAGAGGTAGCGGAAATGTAGCAAAACCCCCACCACCGGGATTTAAATTTTGTAATTTTAACAAAGACTTCCCGCCACTTCCGGGATCATCTAAAATCGCAGATATCCCAGTTTTCAGCCAAAAAAAAACAGCTGAATAACCATCAAAAACATGCCATGTTCACGTTTTCTGGAATTGTGGAGAGCATCTTCAATATATTTAACGTCTCCGACTCGACGAGGAACATTATTAATTTAGTGCTTCCAATTGTGAAAACTCTTTTGAAGCAACTAGCATCTAGGTGGTCCTTCCTTGCATCGATCATATCTTTTGATGGAAAATATTTCGAATGATGTCGGGGATTAGATCTCTCTTCGTCAATGGAACTGTAGAAGTCTTATACCGAAACTTGACGCATTCAATTTTTTAGTTCACAACTCACTTTGTGATGCATTTGCTCTTTGTGAAACATGACTTTCTTCAGACACCGATCTCCCTTTCCACGATTTTAACATTATTCGCCTCGATCGAGCAGATTCGTATGGAGGGGTGCTTCTAGGGATTAATAAGCTCCATTCCTTTTATAGAATCAATCTGCCTTCCGTGACAGGCATTGAAGTTGTCGCGTGTCAGGTAAATATTCGAGGTAAAAGCCTCAGTATTGCTTCAGTATATCTTCCTCCGAGAACCGCGATTTCTCGCCAAGGTCTCTCAGATATCTGCTCAGTTTTATCTGAGCTTCGGTTGATCTTAGGAGATTTTAACTCTCACGGTACAGGCTGGGGGGAACTGTACGGCGACAACCGCTCAACCTTGATATACAACATGTGCTACATCATCAAAATGACAATTCTGAACACCGGCCAAACCTCCAGCAAGAGTGAGCAGATCAGACCTCTCACTTTGTTCGAGTTTACTATCGTTGGATTGCTCGTGGAAAGTGTTTCAAGATCCCTACGGTAGTGACCACTTGCCAATTAAAATTTCTATTACCAATGGTTCATCCTCCACCCGCTCGGTTGACATCGCGTACGACCTCACGAAAAACATCGACTGGCAAAAATTTGCGTTTAAACGCTTTCGCAAACACGGTAAGGTTGGGGATTTCGAGCGGTACACCGACCTCGAGAAAACTTTTAAGGGCTTGATTAAAGCCAAAAACGCGGCTACTGGCGTCGGTTCGTTTATGGTTTGTCACGAGAAACTTTCATGAGAACACTCTGGAATGTCGGCAGGAGAATGCGAAACGCTTCATCACCGGTCAACGAAGACAAGAAGTACTCAGACAGTTGGATATTCAGCTTCGCGCGGAAAGTTTGCCTGGATTCGGTGTCGGTTCAAACCAACGTTCGTGATCGTCCGTCGGGTGGTAACGAAATAAATTCTATGTTTTCGATGGTGGAATTCTCACTTGCTATCCTCTCTTGTAACAACTTAGCTCCAGGAATGGGTAGAATCAAGTTCAACTTGCTTAAAAATCTCTCAGACGTCGCGAAGAGACGGTTGTTGAACTTATTCAATCAATTTCTGGAGCACAACATTGTTGATGATGATGATGATGATGATGATGATTATGATGATGATGATGATGATGATGATGATGGTCCCACCTCTTACCCCCAAAGGTTTGAGCTGGACGATTTATCTTTAAGATAATTAAATATGACATTTTAACCAGGTTAGCAAACAAAATCGAACTGGTTTCAGTTACAGATATAAATTCCCTCTAGAGTTTACAGTTGCTTCACAGCGATATAAATGTGGAAAAGCTCAGGCGCCTTTTTGTCCACCTAAAATATTCATAAGTATTACAAGCGATCAAAAGTTAATGATCAATCAACAAAGCATCCTGTTACACTAGCAACTCCGCAATCTGATGCTATCATAATTTTCAGCCGTACACACAAAATCACGGCCTCCCTGTTCGGTAATTTTTTACTGGGTTTTTGAACAGCTGAAAAAGTCAGTAAACTTAAAAAAATTGTAAAAAATTGTATAAAAGTGATTTTTTCTTGAAATTTATACAGACTCTGTTCTTATTACATTTATTTGATGATAAAAATAAAATATGTTAAAATTGTTCGTTGCATTACGTGTGACCGTTATTTTCAGTTTACTGACTTTTTCAGCTGTTTGAAAACCCAGTAAAAAATTACTGACCCAGTAAAATAATCTCTGTGTGTAATACGCGCGCGAGGCTCAAACCTATGTAGACTACTTTTTTTATTAATCTACTATTAAATCAAATATTCAAAATCCATCATCACCATCGTGGCGAACAGAAATAGTTTTTGCAGTGCTACAATAATTATTAAAAAAATCGTTAAGACAGCTATCCATATAAAATAATCCGTAAGAGATAACTTCGTCAAGATACATAATTTGTCAATTCATAAAAAAAACACTGGATAACTGTTCAAAAGACAGTTTTAACGTGTGAAATGCAGTGTCTTTTAAATTCTGTAAGTGTTGCTGAACGTTTGATATGTCTAGGCATCGAATTGAAAACATGTATTCCTTTATAATATAATGAATTTTGTGAAGCACAAGTCAAGAAATGTGGTGTTCTTATTTCAACCGTGTTTCTAGTATTATATCTATGAAAGTCACTTTTTCTTTCAATTCGATCACACAAATATCGAGGCAGCAAACCGTTAACTACTTTAAAAATGAAAACCATAGTCAAATATTCAATTCTGTGCTTCACCGACAGGTGTAAGGCGTCTAGCATCAAAGTTGAGGAAGTGAAACTATTACATCTCAAAATCAAACGCATTATTTTATTCTGCAAGCGCTGTAATCTCGATATTTGTATTGCTTGGGCCAGAAATAAAATGGAAGGGCAAAAGTCTAGATGAGGAGAGATGATTGATTTGTATAGCTGTATTTTACTGGCAATAGTTAAATCGTTTTTCAGTCGACATAGAATTCCATACTTCTTGGCAATTTTCTTGATGGCATTGAACTTAAGTGTGTCATCAATAATCACGCCAAGATATTTAATCTCCCGAACGCGATCAATAGTCTCATCATCAATTACAACACAGACGTTCTCATTTACTATATTCCGCGAAATTACCATAAATTTAGTTTTACTTGTATTCAATTTCAACTGCTTATACTTCAACCATCTACTTAGAGAACGCAAATCTTCATTCAAGTGTAAAACGGCATCATCTAAATATTTAGCTGCAATGAATAACACAGTATCATTTTGTTTTCTTTGGTTTGTTTTCCGTTGATCTTGTTTTCCGTGCTGAG